AGCATGACAGCGATGCTGCCTTCTCACAAGGAGGGGCGGGGTTAGAAAAGGTCGACCCTAAAAATGCACACCTCGCCTTATCCCACAGATATCCGTCTCCGGCGGCAAGGTTTCAACAAGTACGGAGCTAACAAAAAAATTGCTCACAGAAGGGTGTGACCGACCTCAAGTAGTTGTCCCTTTGGCACTGAGGTCACACTCTCTAGTTACCAAAACCACCTACCTCTAATGCGGTTTCCTTTTCAGGTAATCCAGAACAACCCTCCCAGCACTCAAGACCACTGTATTCATAATCAACCTTCCTCTTCAATTCCTATTATTCCTCCTACATCGACTTTCAACTTTAAATTTCCTCTCTCGGCTTCCACCTCAAGTGTCACCATAGCCAACGATTCTAGTGCACAAAACTGCCCCAGGTCTACTGAAACCTCGCTCCAAACTACACATTGGAGCTTTTAACGTACGCACTCTATGTCGAATCGGTCAACAGGCTTCCTTGGCTAGAACCCTAGAATCTCGTACCATCGATGTATGCTGTGTCTCTGAAACGCATACAGGATCCCAGTGTGGTCATCCACTTGACCTCACCTCGGCAAAACGGAGAGCCGACAAGATACACCCTCCGTGTATCTGGTGATCCGACGGCCAGCTCTCGTGGACTGGCAGGAGTAGGGATAGCACTAAGCATGAGGGCGGAACAAGCACTGTTAGAGTGGATCCCCGTTAACAGTCGTTTATGTGCTGTCCGGCTAAACGGCTCCGTAAGAACTCGGAAGGATAGGGACACACGTTGTTGTCTTCTCGTCGTTTCTGCCTACGCTCCCACCGGCTGCAGCTCAGATGAAGTGGAAGATGAATTTTACAGAAAGCTAAACGTTCAGACATAGTACTCGTAGCAGGTGACTTTAATGCCCAGATAGGTAGTTTAAACCAAACAGAAAGGCATTTAGGTGGGTATTTTAGTATTCCGACACAGCGAACAGATAATGGTGATCGTTTGCTGCAGCTATGCTCAGACAATCGTTTATTTTTAGCAAACACAAATTTTAAGCATAAGGAGAGACATCGTCTAACATGGCGACCCCCTACACCAAACCAACGATGGACTCAAATAGACCATATTGCCATCAGTCATCGTTGGAGAGGGTCGGTAGAAGATTGTCGCTCATTCTGGAGTACCTGCTTGGACTCCGACCATGCCCTAATACGGGCACGCATCTGCTTGCGCCTCACTGGACGCAAAAAAGCCACACTAACAAGACCGATTAGAATTGAATTGAGTAGCGAGAAAACCAAAAGTAGGTTCCAGGAACAACTGAGTTCACACTTAGGTAGTTTTGGAAACGTGGTTGACCCAGACGTTGCTTGGAAAGCTATACAAACAACTGTGGAAACAGTAGTGAGATCTATCAATGATTTAAACCACAGGGTTACAAAGAACCAATGGATTTCCTCATGGTCTATTGCACCGATGGATTCTCGCAAACTCATCCCATCAGGCTCTGAACACGATGAAGAGCGAAAACAAATCAGATCTAGGTTAAGCAATAGTCTAAGGAACGACCGTGAGCAGTGGTGGGCAACGAAAGCAAAAGAGATGGAAAAGGCGGCGACTATAGGGAATACAAGACAGCTCTACAGACTAATAAAAGAAACTGGAATTAATAAGTCAAGTGTAAGTCAGACTATTTCGGAAAAAGACGACACCCTCATCTGCTCTCAGTCCAGATGTTTAGAACGATGGGCGGAACATTTTAGAGAACAGTTCAGCTGGCCTTCAGCTACTCTACAACTACCCTACATTCCCAGACAATGTGAATGGAACATTGAAGTAGGTCCCCCAACTCTTGCTGAAGTTCAAAAGGCTATAGTTAATCTGAAACGACGAAGGGCAGCTGGTCCAGATGGACTGGCTCCAGAGGTCTTTAAGGATGGTGGCCCAATTTTAGCGATTAGGTTGACTAATATTTTAGCTAAGATCTGGGAATTAGACTTTATTCCATCTGACTGGTCACAATCACTTATCGTCCCAATATATAAGAGAGGGTTAAAATTATCCTGTGACAACCATAGAGGGATTAGTTTAACTAATATAGTATCTAAAATACTAGCTTCGATGATTATCGGACGCCCAACTAAGACTCGTGAACTACAAACACGAGAGAATCAAGCTGGCTTCAGACCTGGTCGTGGCTGCATCGACCACATATTCACCATTCGTCAGGTTCTGGAACACAGGCATACTTATCGGCGTCCGACGATGGTGGTCTTTCTTGACTTCAAAGCAGCATTTGACTCCGTATACCACGAGATCCTGTGGCAGTGTCGGTCATTGAAAGGCGTACCTCAGAAGTACATAAACCTTGTGAAGGCTCTTTACTCGAACACTACTAGTCGAGTCAGAGCTTATGGCGAACTGTCATCTGCTTTTGCAACTTCAAGTAGTGTCCGTCAAGGCTGTTCACTTTCTCCATTGTTGTTTAACTTCATCATAGACCTATTGATGGAAATAACATTCTCGTCTACTGAATTCTCGGGTATTGATTTCCTTCCAGGAAATCCACTTGTCGACTTAGAATACGCAGATTATATAGTCCTGTTTGATGAGTACTCTGATAAAATGCAGAGTCTTTTGATATCACTAAGCAACAATGCCAGGATTTTTGGGATGAGTTTCTCCCCCTCCAAATGCAAGTTGTTGCTTCAGGACTGGACTGCGTCAACACCTGAACTAAGGATAGGGAGTGAATTAGTCGAACACGTTGACAACTTTATTCATCTTGGAAGTCCGATCAGCCCTAATGGGTTAGTGTCTGACGACATCTCAGCACGGATTCGAAAAGCTCCTTTGGCTTTTGCCAACTTACGTCACCTTTGGCGGAGGCGAGATATCCGTCTATCAACAAAAGGACGGGTATACTGTGCGACAGTCCGTTCTGTTTTAATTTACATCAGCGAAACAGGGCCATTAAGAGTAGAAGATACTCGTAAGCTACTAGTATTTGACCACAGATGCCTTAGAAATATTGCTGGCGTCTGCTGGGATCACCGGGTAAGTAATAGTGAGGTTCGACGCAGGGTATTAGGGAATGATGGTAAATCAGTTGATGAGGTTATGAATCTTCATCGACTGAGATGGTTGGGCCACGTATTACGTATGCCTGAACATCGATTACCACGACGTGCAATGCTAACAGGTGTCCGAGATGGTTGAAAGCAAGTTAGGGGCGGCCAAACCAAAACGTGGCATCAGTGCCTGAAGTCACTAACTTCTAGTCTGAGCTATGTTGTTAAATGCAGACTACTTGGTTGGGGTCCGCGTGACTATCGTAACCAATAGTTGGAGACTCTTGGTGACATGGCTCGGAATCGATCACAATGGCGTCGGTGTATACACTCTCTGTCTTCACTTAAACTAAGAGATTAAAATCGCTTCACATGTTTCTTTCTACGAACTAATTCTTTCTTCCTGTATTATATCCTTATTGCAATCTTTCTTTTATACATTACCACCTCTGAATTAACTACATTTATGAACCTGGTGTCCGTCTTGTTGTGTTATTGAGGTATGGCAACTTGGACCGATGCATATATATGCCTGGTCCTACGTTGTAGCTGACTGACTGACTTCAAATCCTCACACGAGACATTCATAGGGAAGAATTAAAGGTACTATCGCTTCGAACCGGTGGTGTTACAGTCAGCCGTTCGAGGTTGCGTCAATCTGGCTGCGGGTTACACAGCTGTCTAGAACGTGTAAAGCAATCACTTAGGCAGTGCGTGTCTTGTGTATCATAGATATGTTGGTCTGATCACAAATCAGATATACTACACAGGAAATTCCGTCCATTTTTTAAATAAAGCACAGACTGCAAACAAAACCTCCATAAATGCCATTTGATTTCAACTAAGTTTACTTTGATACATATAACTCCCTCTATTATCTTATCTTAACGAGATAAAACAAAGATTGCTGCAGACCATCTTACTTTGTTAGGCCCTCATCAGCTACTTACGACCAATAATACTTCGAAGTCAAAGTTATCACAAATATTGACATACTTTATTAATACGAAAGAGGTCAGAGAGGAGTATGTGTGTCATGACATAGCGAAGTTGATAAGGTCATAGAAATAAAACTTGAGAGGGAAAGTGCCAGAACATTGGATCAGTGATTAGAAATTAGAGTTAACAAACATGAGATTATTGTATAATGAAGTGATTGAAAACGGACTAATGGTAATAAAGAAAGACGTGAGTTGAAATCAGTCAGTTATAAATTTAAAGAATTACAATGATATAATCCAAACTTTGGGAACAGTAGAAAAAATGAATGATGCAATAAAAAGGATGTAATGTTACCAGGGCAAAGAAAGACTTAGTTCCTTTTAGGTTACATAAATCACGTTCCAGGTGTTTTATCGCTATATTCTCGGAAAATCTCAGGAGATCGAAGTTCCATTGTTTATCAGTCACCTTGAGAAACTCCAGTGTATCCGCCTGATGTGTGTCAAGACGTTTCGAGATGGCACTGCTGAATACTTTTAATCCGCTTTGACTTTTTGGAATTTGTCCTTTGAAGCGGACGTAGGCTCCTCTCCTTGTTCTATCAATGTATCTGCTTTTGCGAATACATATGAATTTGTAAAAATCGCAATTGGTAGTAACATGAAAAAGGATACCTGCCGATATTCGATTGTGTTACAGAACATCATGTTTTGGACAAGACAAACAGTTTAGCTGATGGATGTCATGATACAGTCATCCCTAACCTCTTTCGTATATATCCGTAATAACTGGTTTGATAGCTCGTAAGAAGCCGATGAGGACTTAGCGAAATAAAATGAATAATTAATATTTTGCATCAATCTTAATTTCTACTCTCTTTAACAATTATTTTGATTCAATGCTTTCGAAGCCTAACGATTATTTCACTTAATAAAGATTGCAATTCATTGATCTCATTCCCTCAAAATTATTAGAATTTAGAACAATACTAGTACTTTACTCGCCTGTATTTTCAAGACTTATTGTTTGTATAAATGTACATGAATCAAAATTCCCGCAAGCAGAAAGTATTGGTTCTGAACTAGTTGTTTTCCTGAAGTTGATGGCTAATAAAAGTAAAAGTATTTGAATATTCGACTTTTGCATTCTTTAAGGACATTCGAATAGTAACAAGAGTTAAAAGTGTTCGTGAATTAATTTCTTGAAAACAGAACTATCATGAGGAATGTTCACCGAAATGAAATTAAGCCGGCATCGATGAGCTTCATTAGTTTGGATGCTATCTCTGGGTTATTAAGGTGTGCACGAAGTGCAGTAGGATCTGACATCTGATCTAGAATAAGGCGCATGGCTGGATCGGACAAGATGGAAGCTATTTCAGGATCGTTCATAGCACGCTTGCGAGCAGCTTCTGGATCGTCATCATTTGTATATGATTGACTGAGACCTTCTCTAGCTTCCGAACAATCTGGATCTAGCTCTAGAGCTTTCCTGAAAGATTGAAAAACATAAAAATCATGTAACGTTAACGAATCTTCACACTGATACGTTGTTTATTAATTTTACAGCCAAGTAGCATATTTGTTGCATTTTACCAGCAGTTGTACCCAGCACTTCAGTTAAACAAGCACATGAAATTTTTTGATGTATTCGACTTCTGCCCACAACCTGAACCGAGTAGTGTGAGACTTATGACATTCTCAAGTGATATACATTTCGACTTAGGTATAACTCGGGGTGAAATGCAGATCATTTCTCTCAGGGTAAGTTTGCCTCAGTATAGTGGTGCGATTGACTTAAAATCTGGTGACAAGCCAAGCCTAGAAATTTTATATATGACTTGAACCTAATGTATTCATGAACAAAGCACTTGTTATGTAGCAGACGTTGGCTTACTGAAACATTACATTGAATAAGCAACTTATAACTGTAGGGTCACTGAATAAATGTTAAATAAATGTGTGCTCCAGGGGTTTGATCTCGCATCCCTAAGAGTGCCGCTCGTTTGATAAGTCAAAACCAGGAAAGATATCTAGAAGTAAATTCGTAAAGACGGTTTAACTGAGGTTGTTACGCATTACTGTCAAAAATTTGTCAGAGTAAATTTTGAAATCCAATAAATATGGTCATTTTATTTGATATATCTAAAAACTTTGGTTATTAAATCGTTTAGTGGTGAGCGTAGTCTCGAAAGTCCGTATAATACTTTTGTTGGGTTTTTAACTAACCATCAGCAACCTGAAGTTCGGATGGAAAAGTTGGGAGGGTTGAATTTTTTTTATCTAAGAATACCGAAAAAAATACCGTGAAATAATGAGCATTAGATGTAGGAAGTTCTCCACTAATGTGAGTGCACTTTTATATCCACCACTGGCCTGTCTTTGGGAATTGTTTATTAAAACATCTTGTCAACTCTTCAGGAGACATATAATTTGTCATTAATATTGGTGCACATCACCGGTTTTAATTGTAGCTACCGTGAATTTGTTTTCGATTCAGTAGCGCAGCAAAGCTGTTCGAGAATGTATTCAACTGATATTTTTGGTTCCAAACGATAACAGGCAGATCACTTCTACTTATAACTGTTGTAATTTTATTACAAAAACAATCACGTCGACGCACATACACAGGTGACAATAAATTGAAGCAACCATGATTGTTAAATGGCCTTTTTGGGCGAATGATGGTGTATAAGCATTTTCAACCAAAGGTAGAGGATAATTTTACAGTTAAGCACAAAACCCCGATGATGAAAAATCACTTAGTAAGCTAGACTTAATAAATACAGAAAGGATAAGTTTCATAGCTATTACGAAATAGTGAACTGACGAATAGTAGCCCAGAACAGGGTAATATTTCAAAGAAAAACTCAGCTCTTACGAAGGTTGATAAGTACTTTCTTTTGATGAATGTACAATAGTAAGTCATATACTAATGGAAAACACTACTGCCAAAATATTCGTAACGAACACACACTCAGCATCAAATTTGGCTTTACGATACGAAACAGTGAAATTGGCCATCTACACTAAAGACCTAATGAATATCCGGAGCTAAATAGTTACTTATTGTTGAGCTTTTTTGTTCGGTTTATTTGAGAAGTGCTTATTTTCATTCTGAATGGTGTTAATTTCCTTACGTTTAAAGACTCGATTGGAAGTCAATAATAAATGAAGTCAGAACAGTAGATAAAAGTGATTGACTTAGTAACCGGATAACAACAGTGTGTAATAACGTTTGTTAAAAATTCAATAGCGATATGACAACAGGGAAATGGTAGCTCTACGGGATGTCTTTGACACGCTATCTGTACCGGATGGCGTAAACGCGAATGTTTTCCGTTTTCGGAAAAATTATCAGTCTAAGCAACGTGTTAAGTCAGTTCGTGGATCGTACTTAGATGTTTTATTCGGGGTCGACGATTTTGAAGGCCAATTATAGCGAAATTGTTAGAATATTAGGCCAAATAAGCTAATATTGTAGCAGCCCAATCCCCCCACTTTGCAGAAAACTGTCAGTTCTGAGCAATTTTGGGGAATCCGTAATAGAAAACTTCAGGGAAATGGTCCGAAACTCCTAAAACAAGGATGCATTTTAGTTGTAGGTACCATGATGAGTTCATACGGCTGATTTCACAGGGGTATAGAAGAAGTCTTATGTTTGACGTGGATAAGTGGAGTCACCAGTGTTAGAATATTATCTCAAAGGGAGACGTGCCATTATGAGAAAATATTTTGCAAAGTGTGGTATAGCAACTTGAACTGATGTACGTACGTACGAAGTTCTACGTTGTTGCCGGCTGACTGTTTGCAAAGTATGAAGCTATCAACAAAAATGTCGTTCGCGATGACTTTAAGATGCCTTACGGAGCTTATATATTCGACTGACAAGACCACTAATAACACAATTACCCTAAGTTGTTCAAGAAGAAATAACGTCCCACGATGTAGGGGACTAAGAACTGCTAATGCACATCCCCCATCACTGGATTACGTGTGGGTTTATGCGTCGTATGTTCAAATGTTCGGTCAGTAATAGTAATGTACTAAAAAAACAGCCTGGTTGTGGCTCAAGTCGCCACAAACAGCTCCAATTTTTCCACTAAGCACAAGCCTTTGGAACAAAATGCTTGCCTAATCAGTATGTTTACTCACTAAATTAGCTAATTACTTTCAAATCTTCTAAACATAAATGTATTATTATCTATCTCTGGTAACCAAGTTCTGTAGAGAAACTTAGGATTGCAAACTCGGTCAACATCTGATGAACAAACGAAGACAGACGTCTAGGTAAATTAACATTTAAAGACCTTTATTGTGATGAGTGATCAAGACGCATATACTAATGACTTTGGAATTGATTCATTGTGCAAGGCTAACAGTCTACTTTAATGATGCTATTACAAGAGAAACTGGTAACAAGTATCATTGCCGTTTGTAAAGAAACTGAACGCTAACCATGTCGATTAATTTACAACAGACAAGTGTTTATCCATGTTTAAGACATGGACACTTGGTACCATCTAGTAAAGTTTAATGTCCTAAATTAAAAACTGGAAAATGCACAACCAGATAGTTATTGCACAAAAAACCGATGGAAAATTTTCTGAACATACCGAAAAGCCTTCCTTGCTTGAGTAAAATCCTTCATAGCATTGCATGCTGCTCCTTTCCTGAGGTAACCTTTGATAAATTTCGGATCTGCCTCGATGCACTTATTGCAATCACTAACCGCTAAAGGAAACTCCATTAACTTTGTGTAACATGCTGCACGATTACTATACAATTTTGCGTCAGATGGATTTCTCTTTATAGCCTCAGTGTAATGTTTTATGGCAGCTGGGTAATCACCCTTCTGATAACATTCGTTTCCCTTGACTTTCTCCATTTCTGACATCTCTGGGTTAATATATGCTAACCTTTCCATTTCCTTCATACGATTTTCTAAAGCTCGAGCACTCTTTTCAACATCTGGTTGTTTTGATTCGGACAGTGACTTGTCGTAATATTTTTTTGCATTAGGATAATCCTCTTTTTTCTCGCAAGCATGAGCAGCACGCGCGAATGCTTTGGCAATCAATTTGAAGTCGGCTCTGTTTTCTCTGCCTATCTCAACAGCCTCTTCACATATCTCCACGCACTTATCATATTCACCTTTCTCGTAATACACTGCAGCTTTGTTTGTGTAATACGTTATGCACGTTGGGTCAAGTTTTATTGCATTGTCGTAATGTGTGATTGCAGCTTCGAAGTCCTTTTTTTTATAAGCGTCATTACCCTTTTCTTTCTCACTATCTGCTTCTGCACGCCCCATGACGACAATTAGTAGCGCAGTTAACGTTCCAGAACACTCAGTGGATGTCAGGAATCACCGACGCACTCTAACAAATTCGTTCAAGAAACAATATCGCGATGGTTTGATAGCACTGAAGTAGCACTAACAGACTGACTTCTCTAAATTATTAAGTAGGCCTATAATTTCATATCTTGTCTTAAAACTCAATATTTAAAGATGAAGTAATCTACAGGAAACATAATACTGACGTCGAGAAAAATAATAGTATTTTCAGACTTAAGCAATAAGGATAGAATATCCATCGACCTATATTATTCCCTGCAGTTTGTAACACTATGCAGGTCCAATCTCGTTTTGAATATATCAACAGAATACTCTCATATTACGTGTTGTAGTAGATAATTTTTGGTGGTTCACCACTTGGTGTGAGAAACGAAGCTCCAGACGTAGACGATTCAATTTCTGTTTTCGAACTTTCTTAGAATATACTCTCAAATGATCAATCCTAGACGGAAGGAAAAGATAAGACAGATTAGTATCAAGGTCATCGTGCAGTATACGATAAATCAATGTTAGATCACCTCGTATTATACGGTAAGATAACGGAAATGAGTTAAGGTGTCTTAGTCTGTCTTCATACGATAGATCAGAGAGATATTTTACCATTTTAGTTCCCCGTCGTTGGACTCGTTCCAGTACATCTGCTTCATACTTGAAACAAGAACTCGCTGCTTGAACTCCATATTTCAAATGCGGTCTCACGAAAGTTACACGAAAATTCAGAATTACTAGCTGAATCAGATCGAGCAAAAGCTGAGAATTTTTGAGACTATTTTAGCAAAGTCTTCTCTACGTTTATTGTAACAAATGATTGTCCCACTCACACCAAGATACCAACCATTGAATCTGTACAGGTGACTGAGGAAACTGCCCTTCCGTTGATAACTAACCTCAAACCCGATAAAAACCGGGCCCTGACTGGTTACATCCATGGTTGCTGTCATCTCTTACGGACATTATTTCCAAACTGCTCGCGACACTCTTCAACATGTCCCTTTCACTCGCTCAACTCCCTAGAGATTGAAAGGACGCTATAGTCAGTCCTATATTTAAGGACGGTCAGCGACAGATAGTATCTAACTGCCGGCCTGTCAGTCTAACTAGCATAGTCGTTAAGTTACTTGAAGAGATAACTCGGGTTAGGTTGCTAAGCCACATAGATTTACACAATCTGTTAGCTCCTGAGCAACACGGATTTCGTAACAAGCGTTCATGCTTGACTAACTTGCTTACTGAGAGGGAGGATTGGACAGCAGCCCTAGATAACGGTCTGTCTGTCGATGTGATATTCATAGGTTTTAGCAAAGCATTTGACAAGGTTTCACACGTAGGTCTTATGCAGAAGTTCACGAGCTTCGGAGTAATAGGTACTGTACATGAGTGGATAGGAAATTTCTTAGGTGACCGCAGACAGAGAGTGAGGGTCAACGGAACGCTATCCGATTGGAAGCCGGTCAAAAGTGGTGTACCCCAAGGCACCATCTTAGGCCCTCTGTTCTTCCTTCTCTACGTTAATGAGTTACTGCTGTTACTTAGGTCGTCGACATTATTGTTTGCGGATGATGTAAAAATCTGGAGAACAATAAAAAGTGCGGCTGGTCATCTGGATCTTCAAGCTGACTTAAGCGATTTAGTTAGATGGGCTCGAGAGTGGGGCTTAGAAATCAATGCTAGGAAAAGTATACTAATGCACATCGGTCACGGCAATAGTTACCGTTACACTATTGAGGGTGAACCGCTTCCATGCGTTCAAGAGTAGTATTAAGTCATGATTTAAAAACAGCTACGCATTGCAAAGCAGCCGCTGTCAAAGGTTTTCGTGCGTTATGGTCACTTCGCCGAGCGTTAAAATCTTTTGACGAGGAAACGTTTCGAATTTTATATCCCATATATGTTAGACCACATTTAGAGTACTGTATTCAAGCAGCTATCCCGTGTCTGGTAAAGGATACTAACTCCCTTGAGTGTGTCCAGCGTGTAGGAACGAAATTAGCGAAGGGTCTTTCTAGACTGCCTTACGATGAGCGTTTAAAACGCCTAAATCTTTTCCCCTTGTCGTATCGTAGGACACGAGGTGACGTTATACTGGCATTTCGTATCTTTAATTATGATTTGGGTGTTAATATGTCTTATCTTTTTGCTCCCTCCAGCACTAATAATCTCCGAGGTTATAGCAAGAAGGTTCATAAACCACGATCTAACAAACTTAAAGTGGGGTCCCGTTTTTCTCATCGAGTAGTCAATGATTGAAACTCCTTACCTAAACAAGTGGTATCAGCCCCATCAGTGAATACTTTCAAGGAGAAGCTGGACCTTCACTGGAAAGCAATGTGTCAGGATTAATACAGGTTCACCAATCTACTATCCTTATTACTGAAGACTGAAGACTAATAATCTAAACGTTTCTCCGTCCAAGAACTGAAATGACTTACGAATAGCCAATACTAACCTAAAGTATTTGGCAGCAGCGATCTTGCAGTTGCTCGTAGTTTTGGGGTCGCTGCTTATTATAACTCCTAAATCTTCATAGTCCATTACTTTGGGTGACCCAACTCCACGTATTGTGTAGTGATACAAATTGTCGTAGTTGTTTAATTGCATCACTCTTGTTAAGATTCACCTCTACAGGATTATCCTGATCCATTGGTCCCGGATACATTTTAAAACTGGCTTCAAAGAACTCCAATCTTTTTATGGCTAATTTCAATAGAAACTTGTACAATTAAGTTGATAACACTAATAAACCTCGGTTTTTCAAATACACTGAAGTGTTGAGATTATTCTAAAATGTGAAATTAGCAACGTGGTGGAAAAACAGTTTGAAGCATTTACACCTGAAATATAGCTTTACGAACTAAGAATTCGCGACGTCCTTGGTTCAAATGGTTCAGATGGTTGTAAACGGAATAGAAGAAGCTTTCGCTTAACAGGCTTCCGTGTCTAGTATCAGGGGATCACCAAATCCTCCGGGAAGGAACCGAGGTATGTTGACAATAAAAGAGGAAAAAGAAATTGGTAAGTCATAGTGTGATACTATCCTTAGTCCTTAAGAATAGGTCAAGTTGCCTCTTGAAGGACTCCTGGGAAGTCGCTTGGACTAGCTCGGCCGGCAGCGAGTTAATAAGCTTTTAGGACTAGAGGCAAATTTGTCCGTAAGCTTTGTCTGGTACTGAAGCCTGTCTTCTCTTATAGCCTTCGTGCATATGTTCCTGATATGTTTATATTGCCTGTACGCTCCGTCGTCGCCAGTTCGTTCGTATTCCTCCCAACAGTACCTTTTGAGGCTTAGCAGGCGAAGGGTACGGTTCTTGATTATTGTAGGTGGCTTGCAGCTTTTGGGAACCGTTTGAGGAACTGAATGGCTTGTAGCACATAAGAGCGTGTGCAGTAAGAAATCCCAATAACCGTCCACATAGAGTTGAGGGTGAACATCCCAAGCCACCTGTTGTAGATAATCGTGTAAAGCTGGCACATTCAACCGTTTAAAATTCCAACGCAAGTTATTGTAGGGATATCTTAGCTTAGTTTTGCTGACAAAATTGAAGGCTATGACGGAAATCCAGGATTGAGAGGTTGTCAACTAGGAATTCTTCGTTTGTGAATGCACAGTCTAAGCGCGATGGTGTCTGACTGTTTCTCCAACGAGTTGCCGACCTTACATTTTCTTATAATCCCAAGTCATCGATGAGGTTGAAGAACCGAGCTTCAATTGAGTTATCGCTCCCAGCATACGTGTGATCCGCGAAGTTGACTCTAGGGAGATTAAAGTCCCCTAGAATCAGGATGTGTGTGTAACCGAGACGAGTAGAGCGGGATAGCCCTTCCAGCATACGACTATCGTACTCAATGTCGGCAGTTGGCTTCCTGTAAATGACTCCGACTAGACACCTCGAAGTACTAGACAATCTAACAGAGCACCATATGGATCCCTCAAGATTGTTAAACTCGAGGTTATGAACTTGGTGCACCTTCAAGCAAGAACGTATGTATACGGCTACTCCGCCCCCAATTCCTGATTTTCTGTCGTTGCGGAATAAATACATCCCAGGTAATGCTAACTCTTGGTCCGAGAACTGAGAAGATACCCAGGTTTCAGATATTCCAACAAATGTGCCTTGTTAGCGTTGCTAAGTTCACGTAATTCATCCAATTTGTTTGGTAGACTCGCGGCGTTCATATTTAAGCAGTTTATTCTTTCAATTTGGAACGCGCGAGCTTCGTCCTGTTTGTCTGTAAAGTAGGAAGAGAAGAAGACCGAGTATTGTGTCCTAGGGAACTCCACATTTTACAGGTTCTCGAGGTGAGAGAGCTTCATTCACCCTTACGCTTTGTCTCCTGTCATAGAGAAAGTCACTTATGCAGTCTATTACCTTATAGTAGATTCCTAAATTTTCCAGTTTTAATTCAAGTTTCGAATAGGAGTCCTTATCAAAGGCTTTAATTCGATCTAAGAACATCACATCTATGGGGATATTTCGATGTTTTACAGCAGCCCAATCTCCTCGTTCAATGAAGAGATTTGTCAAACATGATAAACCTTTTGGAAATCTATGTTGTTCTCTGGACGAAAGATTATGCCTTTCCTTATATAACAGCCATCCAAATAATCTTTCCCATTCCTTTGATAACTGAGTTGGTTAGACCAACGGCTCAATAGTTACTAACAAAGACTATACTCCCCATCTTATACACTGGACCAATTATTGCGTCTTTGTAATCTCTGGGTAGTATGGACTGCCAAGGAGACATGTCAAACAGTATCGCTAAAGGCTCAGCAATTTCACCCCATAGGACTTTATAATCATAGGATGAATATTATCAGGACCACTGGACCTATCAGGTTTGAGATACTGAAGTAGTCCCAAGATAGCACCTTCCTCAATAACTAGAGGGTCTATCTACAAGCTGCCACAAGCACAATTATTTGTTGTGCGTTCCTCATTGCTGGTAAACAACGTTTTACTGAAATATTCCGATAAAGCTTCGGCATTTTCAACGTCATCTTCTGCCAATATTAACAGATTTTACTGTA